AGCAAGTGCCCTCAATGGCTGAGCCACCTCTCCAGTCTGGATTTCTAGATACCTTCAGAAGTCCTACAAAGACAGTCCATCCTGTCCTCCGGTCTTCCTGTCCATCCTGTCCCTTCTGTCCCCCTGTCCATCCTGTCCCCTCTTCCCCTGTCCCCCTGTCCCCCTGTTCATCCTGTCCCCTCTTCCCCTGTCCCCCTGTTCATCCTGTCCCCTCTTCCCCTGTCTCCCTGTCTATCCTGTCCCCGTCAATCCTGTCCCCCATCCCTCTGTCCTCCTGTTCCCTGTCCATCCTGTTCCCATCCCCCTGTCCTCCTGTCCTCTGTCCTCCTGTCCCCCTGTTCATCCTGTCCTCCTGTCTCCCTGTTCATCCTGTCCTCCTTTCCACCTGTCCTCCTGTCCTCTGTCCCCCTGTCCTCCTGTCTTCCTGTCCTCTGTCCCCCTGTCCCTCTGTCCTCCTGTCCCCATCCCCCTGTCCTCTTGTCCACCTGTCCTCCTGTCCTCTGTCCCCCTGTCCTCTGTCCCCCTGTCCTCCTGTCTACCTGTCCACTTTCACAGTAGCTGGGACAGTTCTGCACTTCCCAGCTGGCTCCACCCTGACTCAAGCACTCACCCTCCATGCCCGGGTTTGAGGGTCTACCTCCTTCCCCTGCAGTACACACCCAGGGCACCGTGTCACCTGGAGCTGTCAGGTCTTTGTTCTCTCCCTTAGGCTTCCAGACTCACAGACTCTGTGGTTTTTATGACCTTGTCACTTTGGAGCTGTACTGGCCAGGTATTTTGTAGAATGTCCCTCAGCTGGGATTTGTGTGACATTTCTCTCAGGCTTCTACTGGCACTGTCTGGCATCTTTGAAAAATGTGTGTGCACTCATGCATGAACGCGCGCGCGCGTGCGTGTATGTGTGTGTGTGTGTGTGTGTGTGTGTGTGTGTGTGTGTACCACAGCACACATGTGAAGGTCAGAGGACAATCTGCAGGAGATGATTCTCTCCTTTCACCATGTGCCTCCTTGGAATCAAACTCAGGTTGTTGTCAAGTTCTGTGGCAGAGCCTTTACCCACTGAACCATATTGCCTGCCTCTATATCTCACTTTTATTTATTATTTTAATTAATTAATTAATTAATTAATTAATTAATTAATTAATTTTGTGTATGAGTGTTTTGCCTGAAGGTATAAAAGTTCATTGCATGCATGTGTGCTGTCCTTAGAGATCAAAAGAAGGCATTATTTTCTCTTGACTAGGGTTTCAGATGGTTGTGAGCTGCTGTGTGGGTGCTGGGAACCAAACCTGGGTCCTCTGTAAGAGTAGCCAGTGCTCTTAACCTCTAGACACTTCTCCTGCTTCCTGGTATCATTTTAAAAAGCTTTCTTTCAGACTTCTGACATGGGATGTTGGTGTCCTTCAACCCAAAGGTTTGATGGCCCCTGGATGGCAGAGATGGATGCCCCACTCACATTGTCCTGTCCTCTGGCCTGGCAGGGCTGAGTCTGATGTGGGAGGCAGGAGGTGCCCATCAGAGACTCTGGCACCACGTCCCGTGATTAGTGAGAGACCAGAGCATGGTGTGCAGACATGCAGTCCCCACTGGGTCTCCCCACCATAGAGAACCAGAGGACGTGAGATCGGTTGGGGCTGGTGTTCAGGCATTTGCGACTCATGCCGCGGTGTGGGAAGCTGTCCACATCTTGCCCATGTATCTCCTGAATCTTCTCTAGGACAATGGATGTTAATACTCTTGTCACAACTCCCTGGGTCCTGGTGGACAGACTATTCCCCAAGCGCTCCTCCCAGGCCATGACCCTCCTGCTCACACCTAAGGTGGCAGGACCAGGCTCACATGGTTGGACCGATTTTTCCTGTTACTGTAGTGGTAGGTGCACTGAACTGGCTGTCAGAGTGAGGGTCTGGAGGGGTGTGCACTCAGCGGAGCTTAAAGCCACAGCCTGAGGGGCTACAGCTAACTAAACAGCAAAGGCATTCTCCAGACCACGGGAGCCTTGCCTGGGTGCCCCGACTCAGCTGTAGCTCTGTCCTGACCTTTTCTTGGAGAGATGCCGTGGCTGGTCCTGCTGTGGCACCGGCTTCACACCCTCCTGAGGATTTGCGGCTGGGGAGTTTACCTGTTGGCTCAAGAAGGCATTTTGTAAGTTAGTGTAAGTCCGAGGTACGATGTTCTCGATGTAACTCTTGTCCTGTCTCCCCCCCACCCCCCAGCACTGGGTCTGGAACTGGGAGCCTCAGGCTGGGCAGGCAAGTGCTCTACCCCTGATCTGTACCCTCAGCCCTTAATGTAATTCTTTAAAACACCCTTTCTTTTCTTTCTAAAATGTTTATTTATATGTATGTGAATTTGGGGACCAAAAGAGGACGTTGGGTCTGCTGGAGCTGGAATTACAGGTAACTGTGAGTCACCCAGTTTGGGTTCTGGGGGCCTAACTCTGGTCCTTTGGGAGAGCAGGAAATGCTCTGAACCACGAATCCTTCTTTCCAGACTTTTGATGTCATTCTTAAGGGGGGAAAGCCTATTGTAGAAGTCAGTACACATGATGCCTGTGGCAAAAAGTAAATCTAGGCATAGTTACTACCAAAGTTCTGTTCATCAAAACACTATCTTTGGATGAGGACATTATTAGTAAGGTCTGGCTTATTCTCCGTGCTCCTAGTTCCCCAAATGGGGCATATAATTTTTTTTCAGTGCCATGCAGCACTTCTCGGGAAATCCTTCCTGGGTGTGATTCTCCTCATCCCTAAGATCCTCTTAGGGAGTATGGAGCACTTCCTGAGCACTCACCTCTGCTAGGGTGGTCCTGGAATACCTGTATGTCTCCAGTGACCCCAGAGAGCAAGGCTGGAGTGGCAGTGACTTTGAGTCTCCCAGAATATCCCATGATGCTCCCTGAACCCATGGGCACAGTGAGCCCGCGAGAAGCTGCTGCCAGGCTGGTCCCCTTGGCTCCCTGCCACTCTGGAAGCCATCAGAGAACACTCCTCACCTCCCTTGTTCTGCCTCAGTCTCCTAGGAGACTTTTATAGGGTGGGCTGTGAAAGTACCCACAGCTGTGTGGCATCGGCTTCCCTGTGGCAAGCTGTCTGTCATCTCTGTTGGCACCATCTGGCCTCTTCTGTTTCGGGGACAATGCCCTGGGTGGCAGGAGGCACGTGGGTCTGAGCACCTTGGCAGTGTTGGCTTCCATTGACTATGTAACTAACAAGCGATGGGAATCTGGAGCCTTGTCTGAGCATCTCCAGATCATAGTTCATGACCCTTGTCTACTGTCCAGTGCTGAACCCCTGTGGGCATCTGCTGAAGGCCTCACTCCCAGAAGAACTCGCTACAAACAGTTTTAGACTTAGTCCCAACCGAAGCCAGGGTCATTGTGGGCATACATAGAAACCAGTTATATCTTCATCTCCCCTAACTTCTACCTGAGATTAATAAATGACATCAACAGTCCCTGTGACTTTGTCACCAATCAAAACCACACATATTGTCGTTCCATCACGGCTGGTGCAGAGCTATTGAAATACTGTGTTCATTGTGACTCTGAAGTCATGGTGAATGCTGCTAATACTTCATTGATAACCCTACATATCTACAAAAGGATATGCATATTTTATTATATAGCTTTATTTTAAAATTATTTTGATAGCTGTATTTCAGATTTTAATTTTTGTTATTTTCCCAAGCATTTACTTTTAATGAACTATTTTTTATTGTACTGTCATATGATCACTGGTAATGTATGAATTTATTATTTTTTTATTTTTAATTCATTTATCTACTCATTGTTTGTATATGTATGGGGGGTGAAATAACTTGTGGGAATTAATTTTCTTCTCACACTGTGTGGGTTCCAGGCATCACAAATCATCCTCCACATCATCCCCCATCAACTCTCAGGCCACGTAATGCACCACATGTCTATTTAAATCTAGGTTGCACATGTGAGAAACACATGCAGTGTTATCTTCCCAGGTCCTCCTCATTGAGCAATTATCTCCTGCTATGAGTAATGATTCCATTCTTCTTCATGGCTGACTAGTACTCCACTGCACGTACACACTGCGTTTCGGCTTCTCATCTGTTGATGGACACCTACGCTGGCCATTGTCAACAGCGCAGCGATGAGGATGGGTGTGTGCACATTCCCTCTTCAGGTACATATCCGGGAATGGCACAGCTGGGTAACCGTGTTGTTCTAGCTTCTGTCTGTTGAGGAACCATAGTACTGATTTCCACATACATGAAAAAAATCTTTTTGAGATGAGGTCTTGCCTGTGGATGGTCCAGGCTGGTCTTGAACTCACAATCTTCTTGCCTCTGCCTCCTAAGTGCTGTGTCTGCAGGTGTGTGCCACCATGGCCAGTAGCAATGTGCTAGTCAGTGCTTGGCTGGGTGTCCTTGGGCAAATACCTTTTCTGCCTCTCAGATCCATTGCCCTTAACGTGAGGGGTGGGCCTGGGAGACTCTCCAAGGGTGACATGATGCTGTGACCGCCTCACTTCCTCCTTACCATGTCCACGGGTTGCACAAGGGCAAACAGGGAGCTGAGGTTTTTACTGATGTGTCTTAGCAGGCTCTGTAGCTTCCACAGCATCACAGAGACTTTCTAGGGATTCGTCTGGAAATATGCAAAAATCATCTACAGATATGTCTTCAGTGAAGAACCAGAAACTACCTAAATATTCAAGACCAGATTGACTAAACCGTCTAAAGTATATTCATGTGATGGAACAGAGACAGTTGGAAATGACATTACAGAATTATGACACAAAGAAGCAGTCATTCTAAACAGTTAAAAACACAAGGCCAACCACGATACTTGACGACCAATGGGATGTAGCTCAGTGGAAGGATGCTTGCTTAGCATGCTTGAGATTCTGGGCTTCAGTCCTGGTACCACAAGCCCTAAACCAACCAGTCTCTCTCCTTTCCTCCAAACACACACACACACACACACATACACACTCACACACACACACATGCACACACACACACACACACACACACACACACACAATGTATATGCAGAAAAAGCATGCAAGATGTCATAAGCCAACCTGTTACTACTGGTTCTCTCTGAGTGGTGAGATAAAAGTGATTTTATTTCTTCTTCATGTTTTGTAAAATTTCTAGAACTAATGTGCAAGTGTGCGTGGCTCTGTAATAAGATAAAGAGCAGGCAGGTGTGGTGGCACATGCCATTAATTGCAGCACTCAGGAAGCAGAGGCAGGAGGATCTCTAAGTTCAAGGCTAGCCTGGGCTACACAGAGAGACAGTGTCGCAAAGAAAGAAAGAAAGAAAGAAAGGAAGGAAGGAAGGAAGGAAGAAAGAAAGAAAGAAAGAAAAAAAGAAAGAAAGAAAGAAAAAGTAGGGAAGAGAGAGAGAGAGAGAGAGAATGGACGTCCAATGAAATCCCACAGTATCTTAGACGATACCACAGGGATAACAATCACTGTTCTGGTATCGTCTCCCACTGGGCAGACTACCTGAGTGGAATGTTGTGTCCCTGTCACTCGGGTGAGCACTGGCTTCCTGAGCCAGGCCCAGAGCACACAGACCTGCAGTATGAAGCCCTTGCCTCCTCACTGAACATCCCGGGGCTCCCCGCAGCATACCTGCAGGCTGGCGGCCTCCTCAGCCCACCAGACGTCGAACTCCTTCTGCAGCTTCAGCTTGGCTTTGTCCATGAGCAGCTGCAGGTGCTCAATCTCCACCTTCAGGGCTTTCAGGCGCATGAACGTCGATTTGTACCTGCAGTGGGGTCAGAGAAGCGGCAGCGTGCTGATGCCCTGAGGTCACCGGCGGGTGTGTGTGTGTGTGTGTGTGTGTGTGTGTGTGTGTGTGTTCTGTAAATGAAGAGACTCCATGCCTCAGGAGCCTGGCAGAGCTGCCCTGGTGCGGGGAAGGGGGACAAGAGGACTCTGCCAGGGCTAGATCACGGCACCAGGTGTTGAGCCCATCAGAGAGAACAGGGTGGGCCATTTCTGTTCAGCAGAGACTCGGGGAACTTCTCCAAGAATGAGAACTCCCTTTCATTGCACATGTACTCAGGACAAGTGTCACCGTTGATCTTCACTCAGGAGCCACACCTCTGCCGGTACCCGTGAGGGTGTTTCCAGAGAGCTTTAACGAACAGGGCTGATGTGCCCTGAACACGGGAGGCGCCAGCACATGGACTGGAAGTGTGGATGGGCAAGCTGAGCACCAGCATCCATCTTTGCTCTCCGACTACAGGGTGTGCTTCTGCCCATGCCTTCCTCACTGTGATGGACACGGTACCCTCAGACTGTGAGCAGAAATAAACTCCCTCTGCCTTGAGCTGCGTTTGCAGCTGCTTTTCACAGAAACCAGAGAAGCACTAATTTACAGGGGGCAGATGGGCAACTGAGGAAAACCCCAATGGCACCAGTGTGGAAGAGAGCACACACGTGTGAGCCTTGGCTGGGAAGCTGTGAGGGAGTGTTGCTCAGGTGAGTATGCGTGTGCTTGCGTGTGCTTGCGTGTGTGTGTGTGCTTGCGTGTGTGTGTGTGTGTGTGTGTGTGTGTGTGTGTGTGTGTGTGTGTGAGCGCCGGGGGACTGATGCACTGATACCATCAGTAACTTGAGGCAGGAAGGTGACTTGTACGGGACCCCCAGACCCCAGCCCTGGCATGGAGGATAAAGGAATGAATGAGCCTGACCAGGGAAATCGGCATCTCCTCACCCGGTCAGTAGAATCACGTTGGGCCCCTTGGTAGCTGGGTGAAGGTCTGAGGTTCCCAGGCCCCGGGTAAGCTGTGGTAAGCTGGGGAGTGAGGCCCACCATGAGCCTGCTCCGTGGCTCCTTCAGAGCAGTGCTTCTCAGCCTTCCCAAAGCTGCCCCCCTTTAACACAGCTCCTTACATTGTGGTGACCCCCCAACCATGAAACTGTGATTTTGCTACCGTTATGAATTGTAATGTAATATCTGATATGCAGGAAGTCTGATATGTGACCTCTCATGGGATGAGAACCCATTTGGACGGGTGCTTCCCCCCTCAGCACCCTCCCTTCCCAGGCCTAGGCCTTGCTTGAGCTAGCCCTCCCCTCTCCTGCTGTTTGAGGTCCCAGGCTGGACCCATTTCCTAAGGGGAAGTTGGAGGCCCAGGGGGTCGGGGTCCGTGTGCATGCGGAATGCCCACGTGATAACAAACAACACCGGCCGACGGCTCACCTGCTCTTCTCCTCTTCCAGTTGGGAACGCAGTTTCTCTTCCTGGAGGTCAGGCAGGGAGGGTGTGACCGTGTTCTCTGAGACTCCTGGAGGAGGGAGACGCCAGTGGGTTACAGCAACCAAGAAAGGTAGAAGGGAAAATACGATGGGGCCGGTTTCGGAGTTCAAGGGCATCCAAAGACAAAGGGGGTCCTGGGAGTTCCTTCGGGGGCCTCTGGGTGGCAGCCTCAGCTCGGCCTCAGAAGCAGCTCCCCTTGTGTCCTCCCGCACCTGACATCTGTCACTGGAGGGGACTGTCCCACCTCCCCTCTTCTTCCCTGCACTCGGGTCCTCTGGGTCCATAGGGAGGAGGCGACCCGAATTTCCTCATTGGAGAAAGCCCTTTCCGGGCCAAGAAGAGGGCATGGCTCTGACCGCCTGCCTGTGCCTGCACCAGGTCGGCTGGCTGCTCCAGGCTCAGAACCCTGGGTCTTGTTCTCCACCTCCATATAAGGCCGAGTTTTTCAGGCTGATCAATGGAGGTGATATGAATCTTCATCCTTTATGACCAGAGACAGAACCAGTGTGTGGGGCGGGGTGGGGGGGCGGGGAGGGGGTCTGGGCAGGCCTGAGCCCTTCAGTGGGGCTGACTGGTGGCTGTGACCTTCCTAGATGCTGACTCTTCTGTGTGGGTACCTGGCTGTAACTGGGGAGCCCCAGGTACCCTCCTAGCTCATCTGCTAAACCCCTGGCGGGGGGGTGTCTGCCATTGGGCAGTGCTTCTTAGTCAACACGGAGGCACCACGAAGTCCAGCAGAGTGAAGGCCTCCCTTACCTACCCCTCCCTGGCCCCGCCCCTGCCCTCCAGCCCTGCCCCTCCCTGTGAAGTCCGACCTCCCTGCCACAGAACGAAGGTTCTCCCCTCCCCAAATCCTGCTCTCTCACCTCACCCCCCCAATTCCTGTCCCCAACCCATGCACTTCCTGAACAGCGTCAGACTTAATCCCGATGGCAGTTATTTGAGGCTGCATCACTCCTGCGTTGCTGAGGAGGCTACAGGGGGTTAATCTGCCCAGTCCTGTGGCTAACTTCCGGGTCTGCATCTTCGTGGGTGCCAGGGTCCTGGATCCCAATCTCCTTCTACAACATTTTATTCATTGACTATTGTGTGTGTGTGTGTGGGGGGGGAGTGTACATGTGTCATGGCGCACAGACAGAGGGGGCGGCAACTTTATGGAGTCGATTCTCTCCTTCCACGTTTAACCAGGTTCCAGGGATTGAGCTGAGGCCTGTGTGTCAAATGCTTCACCCACCCCCCACCCCGCCCCCGGCCACCTCACCAGCCCAGCATCTCTGGGGGACCATCATTTGCTTTCTGTTCACAGACAGGCAGTGGCTGGCAGCTCCGTGCTGCATAGGAGAACATGTTTCATGGGTCACAGCTATTTCCACCAATTTTGAGTGGAGACTGTCCCTACTAATGTCCCCTTTCATCTCCACACAGGCTTTTTGGAGCAGCACAGGATGTCTTTTCTATTCTGAGGGTCCTTTAAATATTCACCACCACCACCGCCACACTCCCTGAGTCTGGAGTCTCATTTGCAGGCTGGCTTGCCCACTTCCTCGTGTGGAGGTTAGGGGCCTCGTTACTGCCTAATTAGCTCATTTCAAAAGCAGAGACCTGGTATAACAGCCCATCTGGGGTGAGAGGTGCAGGGTGGAAAGGGGTTCCTTCCTTCCAGCGTTTAAATATATAATTTCAGGCCACGGAGCTAGCTCAGAGGGCAGCCCTTGTCATGAGAGCAAGAGGACCCGAGTGTGAATCCCCAGGGGCACGGAAAGCTGCTGGCGCAGTGTGCATCCTGGGGTAAGAGAGTGGCTGGAGACTCACGGTCCAGCTAGCCTGGCATCCACAGCAGCGAACAGTAAAAAGACGGACCCTGTCTCAAACAAGCTAGAAGGCAAGACACCCACGTTTGTCTCCAGCCGCCACCTCCATGTGTGTGCCATGGCAGGCACCTGCCCACATTCCTACCCACACAAACATCACACTCACACACACACACTCACACACATACACACACATACACACACACACACACACACACACACACACACACACGTTGGACATGGTGGCACACCTTGTAATTCCATCATTTGGAGGCTGAGGCAGAAAGATTAAGAGTTTGAGGCCACCCTAGGCTGCACATTGAGATTCAAACCAGCTGGGGCTATAGGAGACCCTGGTTCAAACAAAGCCACCCTCCAGAAACCCCAAGTGATTCCGTCTATTTCCGCAGCAGGTGAGTTACTAATGCTGGCCGTTTATTGAATGCCCTCTGACCAGGTCCTCTATGTACCACCAAGTCCTCAGAATAACCATGCATGGACGGCACCCCCAACTCACTGCAGTTAGATTTCCTGTCGGGGGGGGGGGTCCATACACAGCACAGGTCACACAGCTAGGAAGGGGCAAAGCTAAGGTGTGAATCTAGGAAAATGCTTATGACAGCTCTCTCCATCATGGCCAGTGCGGCCCTCCGTTAAGCCTTTTGTGCTTTTCACGAGTGGCGGCCCCGGTGTACGCTGCCCCAGCGGGCTGACACTGACCCTGACTGCAGCTCTCCACAGTGACTGGGACTCTGGCCTGCAGAGAGGCCTCCATCCCCAGGCTTCACTCTCCTTCCCTCCTGACTGCCTCACCGATGCATGGACACATATGTTAAGTGGTCACCAATCTGTCTTATCTCTGCGGAACCAATCACCCTCTCTTCCTTGCGCCAGGTAAGCAGGTATCTTCTGTCACGCTGGCTGAGGATGACACTGCTGTCCCCTGGGAACACTCTATCAGCCTTATGAGGCTCAGTGCTGGTCTTTATTATCCAGGATCCTCCCTGACCTCCAAGTCACAGGCACAGGGCGTTTAGAGGTGGAAAAGGGGCCCTTCTGTTTTCTGTATCTTCTTCCCCTGGAGCCCTGTTTAGAGGCTGTGTGCAGGACACACAGGATCCTGTGTTCATTTGATGACTCTGTCTTTGAACAACGGCAGATGTGAAACACAGAAGGTGGTGTGTGAACACCAGTGACAGTGGTCGGGACACTGCCTTCCCTGAGAGTGCTGGGCCCCTCTGTCTGCGGCCTGCTGACACAGAGCTCTGCCTCAGCTTCCCTCTTTTAACATCTTTGACCAAGGGCAAACCAGGAGTGCATGAGGGACTCAGTGCCAGCCTGCTCTGGAGCCTTGGCTGTGGGTACTGGACCGAGAAGAGAGGCCGCAGAAGCAGGGGAGGGCTCTGGCTTTGTGTGGGAGGCAGCGTCCAGGACTGTGCGGGTGAGAAGGGGGATGAAGGGATGGAGTCCCAACATGCACTCACGGCCCTTCTGCAGGAGGCAGGCTCCTGCCTTAGTCCATGGTGTGTGGTGGTTTCTGTGGGCACACTGCAGGTGTGTGTGATGACCAGGAGCCATAGGTCCGGGGGATCCTCCTGAATGTGTCTGATACAAGTATAGAAGGCTGATGCCAGCTATCGCCGGCTCAGTCCTGGGGTCCAGGTCAATGTGTGCCACCTCATCCGACATCAGCACCACAG